TTCAGAAAATCACACACCCATTCCATTTAATTATTGTTTCCAGGTCCCTTGCATCCCAACAGTATATACAGAAAGTTCACTCATAATTAGTGCTTGCTTAGAAAACTAATGACAAGACAGAGCTGTCACATGAAAACCATGTGCCAATAAGACAAAAATATGTATATCTCCTGTTTCGGATTCCAGTCTCGTTCTGGTGATCGCTTTGTGATATTTTCCAGTGTCTTGGAAACAAAGGTTGGGGACAGGGGAAGATTCATGTGACCAAAGAAAGCTAAGACTTAACCACCACCACCTCCTGTCCTGGCCTGAATATACAGCAAGAATTTCCTTGCTGGATGAGACCAAGAGTCTGCAAATAAACCCACACACCAGAGTATTTTCAGCAACCGGCTCTCCCTCCTCTGGGAAGTGAATGAGGTGATAAAAAAGATTTGTCTTGCTGCTGCTGACAGTAACTGGGGGGAGAGGAGATTTGAAGCATCTGGCTCCTCATTCTTCACCTCTCACCCCCTTTCTCCACTAGCAAATCCATTGCTTTTCTTTCCAGCTGGCTAGGAACTCCAGCGAATCTCTTAGAGAGACCAACGCTCCAACAGGCAAACTCAGTCTGTGGCTGAGTTTTTACAAAGAGGCTGAGCAGTCGGTTAGCTGATTGCTATCCCTGACACTCATTTAAACATAGCTGCTGATCCTGAAGCGGAGAAACCAAAGGGTGTTGGTCCCTTTGGGGCTGTTAACTGTTGCTGGTTCCATGAAGCTACTCCACCCAAACTCAAGACCAAAGTTATCAGAATCAGGCATGTAAGGTTGTTGGCTGTATCTGATTGTTTCTCTGCTGATAGGCTATTTGATGCAGCAGAAGTTTCCATGAGCAGGTGGTGATTTTCACCAATTCTCCTCCCATCTTTTCTCTCCCCATGTTTTCCAAAACATTGAGAGACCCTACAGAGCAGCATGAGGAGGCACGGCAGAAAGGATTTTGTGTGTGCGCAGAAGTCACCTCCTTTTTGCTCACTGTATGTTCTACTGGATTAAGGAGATTTTCAATAGCAGGCCACAATATCATATGTCATGTCTTCCACTGTTTGGACAATTCAAAATATTTCATTCTCATTGTTCTTCCTCTGTGAGCTGAGTGGACACATGTAGAACTGCTGTAATGTAGGCAGCCTAGCAATTGTTTTGCTTTAAAGCACATGTATTTGGTTCAATACTGCCTTCAAATTCTTTTTAATGAAAATAAGGACTAGGTTTCCTGTCAGGGCTGTTTTATTTTATATTAAACCGTATTTACTGTTGATTCGCTTTAGCAATGGTAGATTTATATATTTATTTTGCTCTTGAACAGCATTCCCCCCCAATGCACTTTGAGAATGCCGAATATAAAGGCAATTTCTGAAACACCAACAGCTATAACAATGCTTGTAGCCTGAGAGAACCTCTCATTGTACAAAACTGAGCAATTATTACGAACAAAAATCTGATTTCTGCATACAACCCCAGGAGTCAAATGTGTTCCTGTTGAACTTTAATTAGGGCTACCTCACATGTTGCAAAAGGCTAACATGCAAGAAAAAGTACTTCCCTCTCCAATGATGAACCCAAATTAGCCAAATATGCATTGCACTCTTAGCTAGGGACACCTAGTGTACACACAGTATATATCAAGTTTAAAAAGATGATATGGCTCTCAGCCAACTATTTTTCTGATTTCCCCCCTAATGTCCTTAGCATCCTGTCTAGGTGAAACCAATTTATTATGTTATCACGACCCATGGCTCATCACAATATTATGTTTTTAAAGTTTTATTTAGTGCTACTAGAGTGCACCATCCTTTAAAAGCATTCAAGATCCCTTTAAAAGCATGAAGATATTACATCTACAACATACATTTAAAAGTCAATTCCCCCCTAAAATTCTTCTTTTTAGGTAATTTGTTTGCAGTATTTGCTTTGTTCTGCCAAACAGTCCAGATGCAGAACAGCTGAGGTTTTCCTCTGTCTTCAATCCTAACATCCAAGGGCTTAAGACACCCCCAAATGTTTGCTAACAGTGAGCAGAAATGCTTTCTTTCAGTGCTATTTTCATGTGTCAGAACAGTTCAATGTGTATGCAACAATTGCTTTCTATTAATTAAGAACATTTATACATAGCCTAAATTTGCACATTTACTAGATTCATACAGCTATACCAATTCTCTAATAACCACTTGTTAATTTATGAGGTAAGCAGGAACTTTTCAGAGCTTGTTTTCAGCATGCTAGTGCATTAGAAACATCCTTCTAAATACTTCCATTATCAAAGCAAAATAAAACATTTAATGATTGGAATCGGTTTTTAACAAAGCCAAAGTTTTAAGTTTAGTGGTGGTATATTATCCTGACAAGCAACAGAGTGCTGTTCTACAACTACAACCACCTTTCCAGAAGAATAATTAAGCAAAGATTAAAAAGCTGAAGTCACAAGTGGAGAGGACACTGACTGATAAGACAGGCAGATTTCAGCCAAAATTCTTTAAAAAGAACTTCACTCTTTTTTTTTTTTTTAAAGCAATTTATTGGGTTTTACAATAAAAATAAACATGATAAACAATATAACATTTGTCTTAACATAGTTTCACATTTTCTTTGGACTTCCTCACATCTCCCGCTCCCACTTTCATCGTTATAACATTTTATCAGCAATTTATCATCTTATTTAAATTCTTATATCCCTTCTATATTTCATAATCTTGTAATTCTCGAAAGGAGTTAAATTTTCACAATCTTACTTGTTTTCTTAAAAAAATTCTAAATTTAGTGGTGCTCAGTTGTTTTAGTCTAGCATCTTATTTAGCATTCACTCAAATTACAATGTTTTTGTAGATAATTCTTAAATTTCTTCCAATCCTCCTCTATCCTCTCTTCTCCCAGGTCACGAATTCTGCCGGTCATTTCAGCCAGTTCCATGTAGTCTATCAGTTGCATCTGCCATTCTTCCAGTGTGGGTAGATCTTGAGTTTTCCAGTATTTTGCGAGAAGTATCCTTGCTGCTGTTGTTGCATACATAAAAATGTCTGGTCCCTCTTTGCCACCCCTTGGCCGACAATACCCAAAAGGAAAGCCTCTGGTTTCTTAGTGAAGGTATATTTAAATACCTTTTTCAATTCATTATAAATCATTTCCCAGAACGCCTTCACTTTAGGGCAAGTCCACCAGAGGTGGAAAACGTTCCCTCACACTCTTTGCATTTCCAACACTTATTGTCAGACAGGTGGTAAATTTTTGCAAGTTTGACTGGGGTCATATACCATCTATAAATCATTTTCATTACATTCTCTTTCAAAGCGTTACATGCGGTAAATTTCAATCCATTACTCCACAACCTTTCCCAGTCCTCAAACATAATATTATACCCAATGTCCTGTGCCCACCTTATCATAGCCGATTTAACCGTTTCATCTTGTGTATTCCATTCTAACAGCAAGTTATACATCCTTGATAGTACCTTAATCTTTGGTTCTAACAATTCTGTTTCTAGTTTCGATTTCTCCACCTGGAACCCTAATTTCTTATCATTTTTAAAAACTTCTTTAATCTGAGCGTAATGTAACCAATCTCGCACTTTGTCTTTCATTTTCTCCAAACTCTGCAATTTCCAATTGTCTCCATCCTTTTCTAGTATTTCCCAGTATTTTGGCCATTTAGCCTCCATATTGGGTCTTTTTCGGGCCTTAGCTTCTAGTGGTGAAAGCCACCTGGGTGTTTTATTTTCCAGCAAGTCTTTATATTTTGTCCAGACATTAAACAGTGATTTTCTGACAATATGGTTCTTAAAGGCCTTATTTGCTTTAACCTTGTCATACCATAAATATGCATGCCATCCAAAAGCATTATTAAACCCTTCCAGATCTAACACATCAGTGTCTTCAAGGAGTAGCCAATCTTTTAGCCAGCAGAACGCTGCGGCTTCATAATACAACTTTAAGTCTGGCAGGGCAAAGCCCCTCTTTGTTTTGCATCAGTTAATATCTTAAACTTAATTCTGGGCTTTTGCCCTGCCAGACAAACTTAGAAATGTCTCTCTGCCACTTCTGAAAGCACTCCGTTTTGTCCAAAACCTGAAGTGTTTGAAATAAAAACAACATCCTTGGCAATACATTCATCTTAATAGCAGCAATTCGGCCTAACAAAGAAAGTTTCAATTTTGACCAACTATCTAAGTCTCTCTTAATTTCTGTCCAGCATTTTTCATAGTTGTCCTTAAATAGACTTAGATTTTTTGCTGTTATATTTACCCCTAGGTATTTTACTTTTTTACCACATTAAGTTCCGTCTCATTCTGAAACCGTTCTGACTCTGTATCTGTCAAATTTTTCCCCAAAACCTTGGTTTTCTGTTTATTTAATTTAAATCCAGCCACCCGACCAAAGTCATTAATCAGTTGTAATACTCTTTTCGTACTGGGCTCTGGCTTCTGCAGGGTCAAAACCAGGTCATCTGCAAAGGCTTTTAATTTATATTGTTTCTGACCGACCTGAATTCCTTCCACCAACCGATCCCCTCTAATTATGTTCAATAGCACTTCCAGAACCGAAATGAATAACAAAGGGGAAATAGGGCAACCTTGTCGTGTCCCTTTTTCAATTTTGAACTCTTCTGTAACCACATTATTAACTATCAATTTAGCTTTCTGTTCTGAATATATCGCCTCAATCCCATTCTCAAAACCCCGTCCCACTCCCATCTCTTTTAAGTTTCCCATCATAAATTTCCAGGAGATATTGTCAAAGGCCTTCTCCGCATCTATAAAAATTAAAACTGCTTTTGTATTTATATCTGTTTGCAAAAGTTCCAAAATGTCAATAATGTTCCTTGTATTTGCAAACAGATGTCTACCTGGGAGAAAGCCGGCCTGGTCCTTATGAATTACTTCATTTAAAACTTTTTTAAATCTACTTGCCAAAATGTCTGCAAATATTTTGTAATCCACATTTAAAAGGGAGATGGGACGGTAGTAAAAAGAACTTCACTCTTTGGGGAGCAGGGGATGAGCAATGTTAAAAGGCAAGCTTTTTTATTATACTAGAATCAGAATAATCTTTATTTATTATTACGAGCCATAGCAATAAAATAAAATAAATTACTTTTGACTGGTATTTGAAAACATGATCTAATTAGGGCCATGATTGTGCTAACATAGAAAATAATAATAAAACATATCTTGGGATAAGACATATCTTATTTAGAACACATTTATTTAAAATAAAATCCATCAGACTTCCATGGAATTTGTTTTCAAGTGTTCTTATGGTGTTTGCCTAGTAGTGGTCAGGCAATGTATTTATAAACTGCTTATAATATTTTAGATTCTTCACACTTTTCATTACCATTAGCCTCATTGTCACATTTGTAAATCAACAAGAATACGATGTAGAAAAAATGGAATAGCAACCACTTCTACATTCACATTCGTAACCATAGCAATTTTAATCCTTGTTACAGCAGTTATATGGCAAAACCCTTCAACAGAGTTGTCAAAGTTCATTGGTTTTTGAGAGCATTCAAATGTAGTCAAAATAATTCTACGGACAGAAGCAAAGGCACACAGTCCTCAGTGCAAGTCCCTTTGAGAAGTGACAAGACTTTAAGAACAAGATCACAGCTATCTTTCATTTCAAATTGAGTTTGTGCAGGATTTATCAGCAATCGGAAAATCACACTCTACACAGCAGATACAGATTTACAAAAGATGTTGCAATAGTTTATTTACATTTCAATATTGAAAAGCCCTGGCCTGTATAGACTTCCATGCTTCATTTCCCTCTCTCTCTCTGATTAAGTATTTCATAAAGGGCCTGGGACAACGCACATCTATTTACACAGGAACATTCTAGGTGGCTGGCAAGGAGAAAACCATTACTGTAGATTCTAAACTCGCAGCTTTCACTTGCTGACCTACTGCCTGAATACGTGGACTTTTGAGTGGCCACACCCATCACCTTCTAAGAAACATTCTGGAGCAGCGTCGAGTAAAGAATTTTAGTGAACTGCAGAACAGCAACGTGTAAGGTGTACTGTACAACTACAGCCCCAAACCCTTTGTAAAACCCCAATATTCCTTCTTCGCGCTTTATGGTATTGATACAGTCTCTCATTCCTTCGTACTGGGTATTGATGGGGAGGACTTCGTATCCCAGGTCCGTATTGTCAATGATGGTGCGAGTCCCTTGGATATGAAGACGGTGCAAAACTGTCTCCAGAGGGTAGAGCATCACATCAGCGCAAAGGCTGGCAGCAAAGCTGGCAATAAGTTCCGGGAAATAAGCATCCAGCATGCTTTGCACAGAACTCGAGTTCTCAGCTGGAAGGCTGGGGGAATTCTCTTTCTTGAGGAGGAGCAGGACTAACTTTTGAACAATGGAACTGATCACATAATGAAGAACTCCGTGTAGAACAGTCGGAAAGGCCAGGGCCAGGAGAGGGAGGAGCCGCTTGCTATGGGGCACTCCAAAGCCCATTGCTCTGCCTATGCCCTCTTTCAGACAATCCAAAATCCCAGGATTATCCCGAATGATTTCGCTCTGTAAAAAGAAAAAGCACCACAGTATTTCCAATGAATAAACATCCAAAAGCTGTGACTGTTGCCATTTTTTAATTTTTTTTACTTATAAACAAATTATGCATAACCAGCATCAGCAACAGGATCATATCCCGCATTTACAGGGATACTCTCAGCATAGTCTCCCTGCAGCAAGAGGCATCAAAAAGGACAAGGAAGTGGGGGACTGACCACCTTTACCTCACTGGATCTGGCTGGGGAAATTAGTGTTGTGGAGTCAGATCTCCTTTATGAATATTTCTTGCCACTACAGTTTAGTGCAGTGGCAGGAGGCCCATTTTTCTGTATTAACACTTACCTTCCACCAGCACGCACCCTAGATGTGGTGGTTAAGATTTGGACCGACCTAACAAGTCTAGACACCGTTTACTTTCCCGCTGGGGAACGTGCTTTCGAACTGCTAGGTTGGCAGGAGCAGGGACCGAGCAACGGGAGCTCACGCCGTCGCGGAAACGGCGTTTCCGTGCGCTGCTCTGGTTCGCCAGAAGCGGCTTAGTCATGCTGGCCCCATGACCCAGAAGCTATAAGCCGGCTCCCTCGGGCAATAAAGCGAGATGAGCGCTACAACCCGAGTCGGTCACGACTGGACCTAATGGTCAGGGGTCCCTTCACCTTTAACAAGTCTAGACAGCATCTTAAAAAGCAGAGACATCACCTTGCCAACAAAGGTCCATATAGTTAAAACTATGGTTTTCCCAGTAGTGATGTATGGAAGTGAGAGCTGGACCATAAAGAAGGCTGATCGCCGAAGAATTGATGCTTTTGAATTATGGTGCTGGAGGAGACTCTTGAGAGTCCCATGGACTGCAAGAAGATCAAACCTCTCCATTCTTAAGGAAGTCAGCCCTGAGTGCTCACTGGAAGGACAGATCCTGAAGCTGAGGCAGTGCATAACCACATTCCCTTATCTCACTCACATGTAAATATACAGATACACGCTAACCTCTCCATATGTGTATTGAACAGAGCAAATTAGATCTCAAACAATTTAGGTCATTGGAAACAGTATGAACAAACGTTTCCTTGGAAACCTTTGGGGATTTGCCAATACGTCAGTAGGTGTTTCCAATTATATCCTTGTTAAATGGCAAAGGAAAGTAGTGGTTTGAAGCTATTCCCACCAAGCTGACATTACGCCTCTAAAAGATATCACACCCATTTTGGAAAAGGAAGGGAGGGAGGGGAGGGCTGTTTCCACCCACTAGCTTCCTTGAACTCTACTAGGCTGTATAAAACACAAACAGAAATTCACCAGTATTAATAATTTTAAAAATCCATGGATCCCAAGAACCTGACAACTAGTCCTGTGCATCTAAAGATGCTATGGGCATTTATCAAACAACACCACACCACACGAAGGGCTATTTTTTAAAACCAATAGGAGTTTTCCATGTGGCACAGGGGGCTGCAGAAAAGATAGAGCATGTAGAACAAGTTGCACAGTTCTTGGTGTCCTGAGCTCCGATCCTGATCACAAGCATTTCTCATGATACCAAGAGCCATTTCATTCCTCGTTTAAGAGAACACCAAGCAGAAAGAAATAAGCATGTGCAGGTTTTTAATTTCACGTTGTAGTAACAGGGAAGGTGATTTTTCAAAATATGCAGGTGAAAACCTCAAAGGATGTTTTGATAGCATGAGGACACACACAGAGAGCTGCACTACTGTGGTTGATTGAACACAGAAATGAATCAAATCAGCTGCTCAATTTCATCCTATATTCTTCAAACCCCCAAGCCAAAAAACTTCGAAGTAACTGGTGCGCCACCAAGTGGCTTGGAATGGCACAAACTGAAAAGCAGTAAACTAGAAAATAAACTTGCTGAGCGATGAAATGTGCAAGCCCAATCAAATTTGACAGGTAGTTCAATACATTAAGAGAGTTTCCCTCACCATACAGTTCAGATGTCATTCCCTGCCCATTGATACAGCTTTTGGCACCTGCTAAAAACCTTTGTGTTGGATTTTCCAGATCCAAATAAACCCATTTAAAGAAATTAGCTGAAATCAGCTCCTGAGAGGTAGGAATTATTTGCTGTGAATTTAAAAATAACTAGTAATACAAAACATGATATTGCTTGTATCAAATACTTTTAATAAAGCAGAATATCTCTTCTTCTAGGGGCAATGCAAATAAAGACAGAATACCAAAGCTCAGGCCAGCTGATGCTAGGATACTTTGACCTCTGATTCCCCAAATACTGTTACCTGACAGCAGACAAAAAGCATTTAACTTACCTGTACTGTTTCAATCAGACTTGCAGAATAAAAAGGCATTGCTATCAAGCAAGTCAGCCTAGAGGAAAGCACAGACACTTATCATTTTGATAATGACATGGTTTTTTTGCTACAGTCAACAGTCCATCTAAACCAGGGGTCAGCAATTTTTTTCAGCAGGGGGCTGGTCCATTATCCCCTCAGACCTTGTGGGGGGCTGGACTATATTTTGGAAAAAAGAGAACAAATTCCTATGCCCCACAAATAACCCAGAGATGCATTTTAAATAAAAGCACACATTCTACTCATGTAAAAACACCAGAAAGGCCCCACAAATAACCCAGAGATGCATTTTAAATAAAAGGACACATTCTACTCATGTAAAAACACGCTTATTCCCGGACCATCCGTGGGCTGGATTTAGAAGGTGATTGGGCAAGATCCAGCCCCCGGGCCTTGGTTGGCCTACCCATGATCTAAACTGAGCCTTTAATTTAAATCAGTTTAGCCCTGTTTCTAAGATTTAAATTATTTGGCTTAGGTGGGGGAAGGTGCTGTTAAAATCCTCCTAATGGTAAGATTAATTTAGTAGATACGGATTCTTATGGCATTACTTCTCAATATGCATATCAAGTGAAATACAGTGGTACCTCTGGTTGCGAACGGGATCCATTCTGGAGCCCCGTTCGCAACCTGAGCAGAACGCAACCCGCGTCTGCGCGGGTCACGATTCACTGCTTCTGTGCATGCGTGTGATGTCATTTTGAGCGTCTGTGCATGCGCAAGCAGCGAAACCCGAAAGTAACCCGTTCCGTTACTTCTGGGTCGTCGCGGGATGCAACCTGAAAAGATTTAACCTGAAACAAACGCAACAAGAGGCATGACTGTAGATCATATTCTACAAAACCATTGGTATGATATTTCTGTGCAAATTCATTAGGGGGAGTCTTACAGAAATGACAGTTCAATTCCAAAGGCCTCATTTCTAGACATTAATGCAGCAATCTCCTTAGATGTACTCCTCAGAGCAAGATGGAGACACATGATAAGACTTACATATATAAAGATTAGGCGATTTGAGAGTCCTAAAATTTAACTCAATTTGAAGTTGTAGATTCAGGTATGCTAATCATCTGCATACTATCCCTTCCTTTTTCCTGTAGGACTAATTGCAGTCATTAACAGTCGTCAACAGGTTTACCATACCCACTGAGTCAATCACCCATCTCCTACTACCCTCCTGAGAAAAACCCCACCCCACCACTATATATAAGGGTCTGGTGACTTCTGTTTCAGTGTATCTGAAGAAGTGTGCATGCACACGAAAGCTTATACCAAGAACAAACTTAGTTGGTCTCGAAGGTGCTACTGGACAATTTTTTATTTTTTAAAAAATATATTTCAGTTTGCAGTTGACACACTTCGGATTGCTAAAAAAAAAGTTATTGCCATATTGCTGATTAATTTTTTTTTTTTTGCATATTTGCACTATTAAGTTGCTCTTGGTTCTTTTTTCAAGTAGTATAACAACATCCTTCTGTACTAAAAAAAAATTGGGAGTAAATTTAACACAGGTACGTACCCTTTCAGCATAAGATGTCCTCCTATCTGCTTGGGACTCCACTTATATGAAAGTTCTCTACAAAAAAGAAAGTAGTAATTGGCAATAAAGGGTTACTAACCAAAATTCAAGGCATAGATACCGGTCACTCCTTTATATCTTATGGTGAAGTGACTTGCACAACAGGCAACACACAAAAGCAACAGTCTGCTTGCGGAACAGACTTCTGCTCACGTGACGGATATTCTTCTCTTCTCCTGCCGGCAGCCCTCCCTGTGCAATGGCAAAAATCTGTTCCAGAGGGTGCAGGGGTGAAGGCAAAGTTGTTTCTGCAGGGTTGGATAGTGCTCATAATCTACAGGCTTTCAGAGACACCTGTGCCTACAAAGCTCTGCCTGAACAGTGCTATGCTATGCATTTCTACATCAGAGATTACACTGCATATAGGAAAGCCACTGCATGTACAGAACATGTCCCGGCAAAAGAAGAAAATCTTTAATAAAAAAAGAAGGGAACAGAAGAACCTGTTTCTGTGCCTTTTTCAAGTTGAATCACGACAGGCTACAGAACCTAAGAACTTTATTAAATTTAAACTTTTGTAATATAGTGGTTTTGTTCCATAAGTAATTTTTAACAGTTGTTTTGAATGACACCAAAACTATTAATACAGATTTCATAGATTTAGCACCAGGTGCGATCTAAAGACAAAATGTGTAGATCCTTATAACTAGCTGGGCAACTGACTGGGGCACAAGGTAAGGAAAGAAAATGGTTTGAGCAAACCTCTGGAAGGATATTTCATTACCTATCGGTGGTAACAGGCATTTATACCTTTTTGAAAAGTTTTATAGTTTCCTACTGAGGCTTCATTTAAACCCAATCTAGTAAATTAACAACTAGAACAGTGCAATGACTGTGTTTTATGGCTATCAGAATATTTTTTAATGCAATGTTTTTATTGTATTGACTTATTTTCATTCATTTTTCAATAATCAGCATGTCAATGAGTCTTCCTTTACTAACTACCAGCCAGTTACATTTAAAATATTGCTTTATGTTCCTTGAGGTCATGCAGATCCAAGTAGTGACTCTCCAATACAGCAAAGCTCACACTCTCAAATGCTTTACATAGTTTGTAATGCCAATTTCCATTCTGTTATTTCAGTAGCAAAAAGGCAGCAGACTTGGATCTCTACTTTCGCTAAAAGACTACAGTTACTTTACTTTGGGCTTGCTCCTGGATTTCAAAATGCTACTGCCAAGATAACAAGCTTACTCTTTGAATGACACACACAGTAATCAGCTTGTATCTACTTAACAGCTAAAACAGCTCATCTTAACTGGAAGAGACACTGGCCAACAGGGAAAAAAAACTACTAAGAAATGGTATCAGCTGCTCAAGGTCAAATAGTCTTCAATCTGGAAACATAGGGAGCATCTGATACTCTTGAGGTGTATTTAGCTTCCAATAGGAGAGGAAAGCAAGTGTTAAAAAAGAGTTGTAATTCATAGGAAGACTCAGTTACTGTTTATACAATTAACACCCCACCAGAAATATATCCAGTTTCTTAAAGAGGTACACAGATCAGTTTACAGTGCAATCCTAACCGTGCCAGTTCAAAAGTCAGCTCCACTAAATTCAGTGGAGCTTACTCTCAGGATTGGGACCAGATAATGGGTCTACTGAAGACATCATAGTCTAATTTTGGGGCTCTTCAGCAACCATCTTCTATAGACCCATATTTACTAATGGCAAACGTATCCCACAGCTTCTTGGCTGTTGATCTCATCCATGTCATCATGCTCATTTCCTTTCTTGCTCTTTATGCCGCTATTTTCAACAATGCCTTCTGTAATTCTACAAGGAGGTTCTACTATTATTCCAGGGATATTCCCAAGTATAAGATATCATCACCTCTGGCCATTCAGATCTGCCACAACAGGACTAATTCAAGCCAGCTTTTATATGTTCTTGGAAACCTAAGACTTTAAACAGAATTGCAATGCCACGTTCTTGGCGCAAAACAGGTAACTAAGCATATTCCGCTGTACAGTTCTACTAAGGCAAACTTTGCAGCAATTGGTCAGACCTAAGGTGGGTGGATGAAATCCATCGGTGTCTGTCCATTAGTAGAACAGATACCGTTGGCAGAACTGTGTGCCTTCCAGAGGGTTGGAACAAATACTGCCTGGAGCAGAAAGGGGGTTGCTGAGGGAAGAGAGGAAGGAAACGGCTGCTGTGTGAGTGGAAGTCCACTTGCATGACATTAAGATCATAAAAAGAGAGCTGCTTGATCAGGCCAGAGGCCCTTCTAGTCCAACATGTCATTCTCGCAGTGGCCAGACAGATGCTTATTGGAAGCATGAAGGTGGGAACTGACTGCAATGTTGCCCATTGAGTTTTAATTTAAACTGATGCAATCAACTTCTGAGACTATCCCAAAGAGATATGATGGACAAATACTGCTTTTACTTAACGTAAGAGAAAAATGAGAATTACCTGGGCAAGGGTGTGAATTCACTGATGATGCCCTCTGCTCCAAGGGTTATGCCTTGAACAATGAAAGTGCTCCCCATTCCTTTCCAAAGAGCTCTGGGCCCCTGAAATTTAAAACGATAGCTTGAAGAAAATATCTACATAATCTAACCCAGTATTTGATGTTTTCCTGCAACTAGTATTTCTATACAGTAACTTCTATGCGTATCTGCATTCATTATCTGCCATATTTTTATACTGGCCAACTGCATTTGGGGGACAGTGGTAAGAATCAGACTTAAAGTAGTATATAACTGGTAAAAAGGTAAAGGTAAAGGGACCCCTGACCATTAGGTTCAGTCGTGACCGACTCTGGGGTTGCGGCGCTCATCTCGCTTTATTGGCCGAGGGAGCCGGTGTACAGCTTCCGGGTCATGTGGCCAGCATGACTAAGCTGCTTCTGGCGAACCAGAGCAGAGCACGGAAACGCCGTTTACCTTCCCACCAGAGCGGTACCTATTTATCTACAGTGGTGCCCCGCAAGATGAATGCCTCGCAAGACGGAAAACCCGCTAGACGAAAGGGTTTTCCGTTTTGGAGGTGCTTCGCAAAACGAATTTCCTATGTGCTTGCTTCGCAAGACGAAAATGTCTTGCGAGTTCCTGCGGGGTTTTTTCCTCCCCCCCCCCCTTTCCCAAGCCGCTAAACCGCTTAACAGCTGATCGCTAAGCCGCTTATCAGCTGATCGCTAAGCCGCTTATCAGCTGATCCGCTAAGCCGCTAATACTGTAGCGCTAATCCGCTAAACCGCTAATGGGCTTGCTTCGCAAGACGAAAAAACCCGCAAGACGAAGAGACTCGCGGAACGGATTCTTTTCGTCTTGCGAGGCACCACTGTACTTGCACTTTCATGTGCTTTCAAACTGCTAGGTTGGCAGGAGCAGGGACCGAGCAAAGGGAGCTCACCCCGTCGCGGGGATTCGAACCGCCGACCTTCCGATCGACAAGTCCTAGGCTCTGTGGTTTAACTCACAGCACCACCTGCGTCCATATAACTGGTAGTTTTATTTAATTTCTCTTTAAACAAATCTGTAGACACCAAATACCTACCTGGGCCTTATTGATGCTATACATAATGTTGACAATTGTAAATGGAGTGAGATGATAATTCCTGGCATGGTAATTAACCTGCAAAAACAAACATATATGCATACAGTTACAAACATTTGTAAATGGTATAATTAACATGTTATGATAACATATTGTAATTGACTCCACAACACTATCTCCATTGTTTTCCTAAAGACTTACAGGATCACTCAAATACAATCCATGCTGAAGTGCTATCCAAATATCATATTTTAACTGCAACTTGAAGGGAGTGTCTAATCCAGGAGAGGGTAACATGTTGGACCGTAAATCCCATTATCCTTGCCCACTGGCAGGAGTTGGAGTCCACATTTGGAGAGCCACTAGTTAGCCAATCAAATCCAGTATTTTCTGTGACATTAAAATTAAATGGGCTGTATCCAAAGATAGTCATACACCAGATAGATCCATTGAAATTAGTGCATATGACAAATGTAGTCCCAATAATTTCATTAGGTCTACTGTGAGTAGAACTTAGTTGGATACTAAAAGCACAAGCCTATCCATGTTTACTTGGCAGTAAATCCCATTTCTGTTCAATGGTGCTTACTCACAGAAGCATATGCTTAGGACTGCAGCCCAAGCGAGGCCAACAAGACACATTTGAGAGAGCAACTCACAACAACTTACCTGGCACTGTCGACGCAGAACAATGCAAGGATGAGCCAGCACATTTTCTGTAAACAAACTTTGGAAAAACAATTATGTTAAACACAGAAGTTTCTCCCACTTATTACTATTTATTTCATTTATGAACCGCTCCCTATGAAGCACCTCAAAGCAATTTCACAATGCAATAAAACATACATGAAACAACTGCATATATAAAATCCACTATGTATATAAAAAATAATTTTAAATTCAGTACAGATACCAACTGGGATCTCTACTTAGCTTGTCAAAAGAAGCAAGTCTTCAACAGATGCGGAAAAGACAATTGAGATGCCACACTAAACAAGTATTATTATCTTGTTTTAGTAATCAACATAACTCTGAAGTGTTATTAAGTTACAAAATATTATTAAAATGCTTTAGTACTCTAAAGCAATGTGGCTATCTATCAGAATAATTTGTATAATAGCAAGAACTAAAAAGATAAACTTTACAGAATATCTTGAAATCACTCAGATCTCATGAGGTTGGATGTAGACTTGCCCTTTCATTCATGGAAGGGATTTTGAACCAGTGGCCCGATGGGGAAACAAGAGAAGGACATCTTTGCTAAATTTCCCTTCCTCCTCTAGTCCACAGTGCTATCTCCCATGGTGTTCCAGAGGGTCCCACAATCCTCCGAAATAGGTTTTCAGGGGGCTATGGGAGGCTGCAGGGCAAACCATGGAAAAGAGCCTCCCACTTTCTACCAAAAGAAGGGTCAAGTTAGCAGAGTTCTGTTCCTGGCAAGTCTGGATCCAACCCTCCAAGTTCACTCACAACTTTTTATAACTAGCATCTATGAGCTGCCCAAGCAGCTGAGGCAACTTATAACAACACTGATACAATAAGTCATGAATGATACTTAAGCAGAAATTTAAACAGCCTAAAACCTCATTTAAAGCATTCCACTGATCAAAACAGAAATAAAAATGTATGTGTCTGAATAATAATAATAAATAATAATAATAATAATAATAATAATACTCCTTGCATCTGGCTGGGGTAATAGACAAGGGGGAAGGAAAATAGTAAAGGCAGCAGCACACCCAACAGCAGCAATACGAGCAACAAAACAGAACAGCTGGACTATACAAATCTACCCAACGTCAGCAAAAATGTTTTGAAAGAAAGTTGTTAAAAGCTGGTAGAAGACAAATTAAAGGCATGGCTAGGTGGGCTTCCTTGGCAATTAATTCCACTGTGTGGAGCATGGATGGGAAAGGACTTTCCCCTTCTTCATACATCTTTTGGGGGCAAAGGGCAAAGCATGCCTCTTTCTCCATTCTCAAGGTATGCTGAAGTCAGGTTATTCAGGACTTTAGAAAAGATCACCGACACCTTGAATTGGGTCTAGAAGCAAATAGGAAGCAAATGCAACCAAGTTAGAGCTCTCTATATAGCCTGGTCTTATCAATAAGATGAGCCACATAAGTCTGCATTAGATTGAGCTTTCAATCCATTTCCAAGAGTATCTCCAATGTGATGCATATAGTTGCAGTAATTTAGACAGGAAGTTAACAGTGCTTGGATAGTGGTGGCCAGATCCTTATCTGAGAGGAAGGGCATGAGTTCACCAACTGAAGCTCATAAAAAGCTCTCCTTGCCACTGTTATCACCCGAACACCAAGCAGCACACCCTAACACATAGTTCTGCCGCTGTAGCAGCTATTTAGTACAGAAGCCAAACAGTAGAGCCAAGTCTTCACAATATTTACTATAAAGGGACCCCTGACCATTAGGTCCAATCGCGTACGACTCTGGGGTTGCGGCTCTCATCTCGCTTTATTGGCCGAGGGAGCCGGCGTTCAGCTTCCGGGTCATGTGGCCAGCATGACTAAGCCGCTTCTGGCGAACCAGAGCAGCGCACGGAAACGCCGTTTACCTTCCCGCCAGAGTGGTACCTATTTATCTACTTGCACTTTGACGTGCTTTCGAACTGCTAGGTTGGCAGGAGCTGGGACCGAGCAATGGGAGCTCTCCCCGTCGTGGGGATTCGAACCGCCGACCTTCTGATCGGCAAGTCCTAGGCTCTGTGGTTTAACCCACAGGGCCACCCGCATCCCCAATATTTACTACGCAAAACCCAAATCTGACAGATACACGTGGCTTGAGCTTGGACCTAGAGAAGATTCTGATGACGTGACACATTCATTTCCCATGCAGCCTGCAGCAGTTATGCAATAAGTTATAAAGAGGAAACAAACAAATTGGCAGGAAACATTTAAGGCCTGGAGAGCAGACATTTTACATTAGGATCCGTTGCCGAAGCTTCATCAGTCACCCCTGCCCCTGAGAAGAACCAAGACCTGCGGAATGCCTTGACCAGTAGGGATCAAAACATCTTGTGTTACCTGATGCTGGTTGCTAGGCAGCACACTTTAAGGGGGAGGAGCTACTCTCCCTTAAGGTAATAGTAGAATCTTCAGGGGCAGCAGTTTAAACAGCCACAATGATAGTGGGCAACTGGAAAGGCCCACCTCAGAGTGCTTGGTTTGCCAAGCTTTGCCAAAGAGGGAATTCTCCCGAGTTTTATTCACCAAATAACCAAAAATCCCCATACAATGAAAGGATTCTGTGTCACAGTTCTATTGGACCAATATACTGGGTCATTTGTAACTGCGTTTCAAATGAATGATACTGTTCTTGTTTGTACAGAAAATTCTGGCTCTATTTAGAGCTATACCGCCAAAGAAATAGAGTTATATAACATTGCAACTTTCTGTCCTTGTGCTTTATACAGCTGTCAAATTTGCTTCTGTACTCATTTCAATGCACTGGCTTTCATTTATAAAGCCTTACTGAAACCCTCATATGATAATTACTCTCCCCACCTCCTATATAAGCCCACTTGTCTGACATGAACAAGTTGTAAGGCTTTGCTTCCTTTATAAGAAGTGTAAATAGTGATAGCTCAGAATAGAGATGTTGTACTTCCAAGTTATGGAACTTTCAGTACAGGTTAGGACAACTACCCCATACCTTTCTTCTTGTAAGAGCTGCAACACCTTTTTTAAAAAGTTCCTTTTGGCTGAACTCTTTCGATGGCTACTGAGTTTGATAACTGGATGTTACTGATATTGCCTTTGTATTACAGTATTTGTTACTTGCTTGTAAACCACTTTGGAAAGTATATAAATATTGTAATGAATACATTTTTGAAAGGTGGTAGAAAACTCTGCTTACGCTGAATGAAAATATTAAAGCATTCAGTTGCATGTGCCACCTTAACACACATACAGAGATATGGATTTGGAAAAAGTAGTTTTGTGTATATTAAAAATGTTATGAATTACATGATTGTGATATTACCTTGCCAAGCCAATCCCAAAGCCTGCAAATCTATTCAACTGTTCTGAAAGACAGAAAGACAACACAAACAACTGTTAGTTTTAATCAGCTACATAACAAAACACAGGGAGAAGGACCCTATCCAAAATTTGCATTAGCCTGGTAAAGGCACAAATACACACACAGATATTTACAAAATATAATAAATGAATAACTGATTGCCTTAAATTTCTCAAGTAAGCTAATATAATTTGTTCTAAAAAGGTAAAGGACCGCTGACAGTTAAGTCCAATCGCGAATGACTCTGGAGTTGCGGTGCTTATCTTGCTTTACTGGCTGAGGGAGCCGACATTTGTCTGCAGACAGTTTTTCCGGGTCATGTGGCCAGCATGACTAAGCCGCTTCTGGTGAGACCAGAGCAGCGCACAGAAACGCCATTTACCTTCCCACCGGAGCAGTACCTATTTATCTACTTGCACTCTGACGTGCTTTTGAACTGCTAGGTTGGCAGGAGCAGGGACCGAGCAATGGGAGCTCACCCCGTTACGGGATACGAACTGCTGACCTTCCAATGGGCAAGCCCTAGGCTCAGTGTTTTAGACCATAGCGCCACCCACGTCCCTATAATTTGTTCTAGTCTATGACAAATTTGGGACATACATTTGCTTAATTACACTCTCACTGAGCCATGATCCTTGTTTGGTGACCTTGGGCCAACATTTCCTGGTTGGAGACATACCGTATTTTTCGCTCTATAAGACGCACCAGACCACAAGACGCACCTAGCTTTTGGAGGAGGAAAACAAGAAAAAAAATATTCTGAATCTCAGAAGCCAGAACAGCAAGAGGGATCGCTGCGCAGTGAAAGCAGCACTTCCTCTTGCTGTTCTGGCTTCTGGGATAGCTGCGCAGCCTGCATTCGCTCCATAAAACGCACACACATTTCCCCTTACTTTTTAGGAGGGAAAAAGTGAGTCTTATAGAGCAAAAAATACAGTAAATAGAGATATAAATAGACCTAGCATCATAGGGTCAACACTGCTGGACAGCTGCCAAAACCACAGTACCTTTACCCAGCTTCCCAAACAGAAAGGTGTCAAAAAGCAGTAAGAAGTAACAGCCTCTTCTTACAACTACCACTTGCCTAGTTCTTTGTGGTTGCACCACTGAGAGGTGTGGGATGAGTGATTATGCAAAGACTTCAGAGCATCTACCTCCACATCTCGCTTATTGTCATTCTCTCTCTAGCCTGTGTGGCAAGAAATATTGGGCCTACAGGAGACAAACCACAGGTGGGCTCAACCCCCACTCCTGTATCACCCAGAGGAAAAGTATAGGTAAGTGAGTGGACTAGCTGCTTTTCTGAGCAGAATTTGAGTGGGGTGGAGAATATATTGTTATAGCTTGCTAATGTTTTCCTCACAGGCACTATTTTTTCTAGAGAGTAAAAGGAACACGTACCACTTAAGAAAAGAAAAAACTGGTTCTAGAGAGACTGGCTTGCAAAAACTGGGTAAAGGGAAGGATTGTACAACATCCTGAGCTCTTAGTGAACAACAGGTTAGGAGAACACTTGTTCTGGGACTCACACTGATTGCTTTAAAAACTCCAAATCGAAATACAGTATGAACCAACCGTAAGGAGGAAGAAAATGAAAAAGCCTACAGTACTAAGCATGCCTCTGGCTCATCGCGCTAGGAAGAGCTTCACTTGCAATCCAGCACCCTCGGAACAGTCCGCACTCCAAAGAATGCAGAGCACCAAACTGTTGCGGGCCCAAAATTTGCCAGAAAGAAGGGAATTCGCCTGTACTACAGGCGAACAAAAACGTATAGGAGCGAAAGAATCTGCACGTTGGCCTTTGCAACCGTGGCCTTTTGCAAGCAGAAAAGGCGATTTTTTGGGGGGGAAGGGGGGACATCCAGCGTGGGAAGCAAGAATATATGCGACCCACGGAAGATGCTGGGCTCTCCTGGCCCCCTTGGTTTTGGGGCCCAGGCCCCGTCTAACCGGCGCGTGCCTCTCCCCCCCACCCCTCGTTATACGCACCGGAGCCGGCGGCCACGCTCCCCGCGTAAGAGTCCTCGTTGAAGCCGGCCGCCCCCAGCGGGGTCCCTGCGGCGAACTGCGGGGTCTTCTCCCCCCAGTGGAGGTTGCGGCTGCCGGGGATGTCAGGCGGGGTGCTGACCCAGTGGCCGAGGTCCGGCTTGGCCACGAAGCCCCCCGGCTCCTCTCGGCCGCCCCGGTAGCCCAGGCCGTCGAAGCCCTCGGGGCGCCGCGGATGCATCGGGCCACAAGCGAGGAGGGAGCCGGGAGACCCAGGAACGTCAGGAGGTTTTGACAGCAACAACAGGGAAGACCTCGCCGCTGCGCCCTCAAGTTCCCCCCTCAGGCTTCACTTCCGGTGCTAACCGGAAGCAAACCCCGCCGCCCTGAAGCATACTCGTCTCCATGGCGGGTCATGTGACGCGGGCGGGTTCCCGCCCCTAAGCCTGATATTATTGGGGGGCGGGGCTCGTTTTGCCAGCCCGCTTCCTGCTAACCTAGAGATAAGAAAAATAGAGCCTTTGGTTGTCCCTATGAAGGGACAGGCTACACCTATATTCTCCATATTTACTGGGAAAAGTTGTTTTTAAATCCACCAGACAATATTAGGACCAACCAAAATATTTTTGTTATTCATTTATTTATTTAATTTGTATACCGTCCAAACCCACAGGTCTCACCTGCTGGAAATGTAAAGAAAAAAAGAAGGTACCTTTTACCATATGTGGCAGTCTAGTCGTGACCGACTCTGGGGTTGCAGCGCTCATCTCGCTTTATTGGCTGAGGGAGCCGGCGTTCAGCTTCCGGGTCATGTGGCTAGCATAACTAAGCCACTTCCAACGAACCAGAGCAGTACACGGAAACGCCGTTTACCTTCCCGCAGGAGCGGTATCTATTTACCTACTTGCACTTTGACGTGCTTTCGAACTGCTAGGTGGGCAGGAGCAGGGACCGAGCAACAGGAGCTCACCCCGTCACGGGGATTCGAACCGCCAACCTTCTGATCGGCAAGTCCTAGGCTCTGTGGTTTAACCTAGCGCCACCCGCGTCCCCTATGTGGCAGTAGTGTAAGGTAATAAAAGCATTCTGGGAAATGAAATATTATGAACTGGGGAAAAAAATGTTTAAAATAACTTTTGTTAAAAAAACAAGGAAGCCTTTTTATTAGGAATTGTAGGTACCGACATCCCAAAGGAGCAGACTTTTTATGTATGCGACAACAGCTGCATGGATGCTCCTAGCCCAGAGATGGAAAGAAGAAAGAGTCCCTACCAGAGAGGAATGGCAAAGCAAGCTGTTGGACTACACAGAAGTGGCAAAACTGACTGGAAAACTCAGGAACCAAGAAGACAAAAAACTTCAAGAAAGAATGGGGGAAATTTATAATTTATTTAGGAGACCAGTGTAAGCAGATGAAAACATTAGCAGGATTCTAATAACACTTGTCATGTAACAAACACTGTGGACAATATGGACGGATACAAAATATAGTTTATGAAATAATATGCAGTTGAAAATGTTGACAATAGGATCCATGAAGGGGATGATGGGAAGTCTCGAGATTCAAATAAATCTCTATGTATGGATATGTATTTGATATTGTTATAACTCTACACTTGTAAAATCAAATAAAAACGATTTCCAAAAAATAAAAAATAAATCCACAGGTCTCAGGACTGTTACAACATAAAATCACAATATGAAAACAGCATGCAACAAGACCTGCACCAGCAGTTGGTACTTCCAGGAGGCTGGAGAAGAGACTTGTCACCATTTCCCTCCCTGACATTTGCCTTTTGTTGCTGTCAGCCTCCTCTGGAGTAAGGACTTTGCTAGGTGTTTGCAGGTATTCGGGTTACATGCTGGGATGAAGAAGCAGTGGTAGATCCCTGTCTATGGAAACATAAAGCTTGGTGTAATCAGGTCTGCTTCACACTTTCAGCAAAACATACAGGCTCCTGATTGGGTAGAAAAGAGAAACATGGCACAGCCCCAATTTGACAGAGCAAATCAAACCCCTAATCCACCATGCTAGAGGGGGTTCGGGTGAGGCAAAGGTGTGCCTTTGTTGCAAGGCGTCAAACCCTATTAAAAACCCCTAATTCTGGCCAATGAAATCCAGGAGCCGGGAGAAGATAGAGTCCAGTCATTTTATTACTTAGGAAGCAACAGGTTACGGTCGGATCGTTTTGCAAGGTGTTATGTACTGAGTTGAATAGGATCCAAACTGCAGCAGTCTGATTGGTACTAGAACAATAGGATCCAAACTGCAGCAGTCTGATTGGTCCTAGAACAATAGGATTCAGAATGCAGCAGTCTGATTGGTCCTAGAACAATGCAGCAGTATGACTGGTCGGCAGGAGCCACCCAATCCAGCTCCAGATAGAAGTGAATCCACAACCTGATTGGCTTACAGGAGAAGTCCGGCATTAGCCAATCACGTGCAGCCCATTGTGTAAATAATGTATATAAAGCAGATACTGTGAGGGGACTTTCATTCCTCCTCACCACTATGAGCTGAGTAAAGAGCATGAAATCACTTTGCGACTCTGAGTATATTCCACAAGTACTGTAACTGTGCATGCCCAGTGATCTGGGCAGTGGTATTTATGAAGTTTCAAACAAAGCATTTCAATTTCCACCAATCATATACATCACCTTGGCCTGGCCTGCAATCTGCCTTTGCCAGTGAGGGAAGCCGGTCATCAGTGGAGTGCCTAATGCAGCTACCCAAAGTGGAAGTTACTGCTGGCCCACTGTATTTTCCCCAATGGTAAAATAAGAAGAGGCTGCTGGATCAGACCAGTGGGGTATTTAGTGCAACATCCATTTCTCAAAGGGGCTAACTGGATGCCAGAAGCTGGACCCAAGCACCAGAATATTCTTTCTTCTTGCAGTTTCCAGCAATTGGGTTTCACAAGCATTACAGCCTCCAACCACCGAGTGAGAGGATACATAGCTGTCAACTTTTCCCTTTTCTTGTGAGGAATCCTACTTGGAATAAGGGAATGTCCCTTAAAAAAAGGAAAAAGTTGACTGCTATGAGAGGATAGCCGTCATGGCTAGTAGTCATTGGCAGCCTTATCCTCCTTAAATTTGTCAAATCCTCTTTTAAATCCAACCTGGTTGGTATCTATCACTGTGTTCTGTTTGAGTTCCATATGGGCTGTGGGAAGAAATGCATTCTGCCTGAATCTTCAATAGCTGGTGTTTGGTGGTAACACTCCAAATGGAGCATGGGAGGGAGCAAGGAGGGAGCACAACTGGACCAGCACAAGATTTGCTGGATCCTGATCTTCCCCTGCTGATGTGTGACATGATCCACCCGGGCCACACTGCTACAGCAGCCTAGGAGTTGTATGGGGAAAAGGCATTCTTCCCGCCCCATACTTTTTGCCCTGGCTGGCATGAGAAATGAAGCTTTGGGTGTAGACTGAACAACACCATTAAACCCTGCTGCTTTGCGTGTCAGTGAAAGAGTCAACAGCAGCAACAACAACAACAACAACAATAATTTATTATTTATACCCCGCCCATCTGGCTGAGTTTCCCCAGCCACTCTGGGCGGCTTCCAATCAAGTGTTAAAAACAATACAGTTAAAAACAAAACAAAACAACTGAAGCCAAATTGTGTAGTTTTTGGTTGGACGGCAGTTAACCTTAAAAGCACTATGTCACTGTTCAGGTGGTAGAAAATAATCTTCCTCTGGTTGTAGATTCCACCCTGAATGGCTAACTATGATATCTTCCAGGCTCAGAAGAAGAAAGAAGTTCAGAAAGCTAGCCATGTTAGCTTGTTTCAGCAAAAACAATAGTCTTGTGGCACCTAAAGTCTAGCAAATCTATTATTGTTTACTATAGCTAAAATATTGGGTTTCTTCATTAATTTCTTTAGACACCTCTTTCTTCCCTCCTGTAACACGTTTTGTGTAATGTCTATCCTGATAAAAGTGTTCTGGAGGATTTGTAATGTTGTGCTCATTATCTTGTTACATTTTGGTTTGTACTCATCTGTGGATTTTGAACCAAAAAGCTTTGGTTTAGTTTAGCTTGTTTTTAGTGCGAACTTTAGTAAACAATAATAGATTTGCTAGACTTTAGGTGCCATAAGACTATTGTTTTTGCTGAAACAAACTAACATGGCTAGCTTTATAACGACTAAAGAAGGCGCTTTTAAAACAACCCGCTTCTCCCCCAATTATTCAGCGCCTTTTGCTTTCCCCTTCTTTGGTCTTCTGAAAGGTGATGAGGCGGGAGCCACGGCATTATTGCAGCCCAGCCGAGGGGCCACTGGGTGGAACCCGGGCCTGGCCGCGTCCATAGCAACAGCTGCCAGTAGAAGCACCTGAACGCCGAGAGAGAAAGAAGGCAGCGGAGGCGGGCAGGGCGCGCGCGCTGGGCACCCATTTGTCCTTCCATCCAGCAAGCAGGGTAAGCGCGGGGTTAAGGCTGCTTCAGGAGGCGAGGAGCAGAGAGAAGCCGAACTGTAATTAATTACACGGGAGTTTCTCAATCTTCTCAAGGGGCCCCTTATTGTCTCGAGAAGCCGGGAAACAGGCCCTGCCGGAGGGAGTTGGTTGGCTGCGCCTTAAGCTCGGGTTACTTAACTGTAGGAACTGCAATGGTTTTACTGTAATGGAATTTGGGGACGAAGTTCAAAAGGAAAAACTGGGAACATAAGAGCTGGATCAGGCTAAAGGCCCATCTACTTTCTCCTGTGTGTATGTGTGCAAAATGTTTAGGGGTACTCTCATTTTGACTCGAGAAAATCACCATTTTATAGTTCATATCGGGAAAAAGAAATACAGTAAATGGATAAAAGTACAAGGATTCACAAAATGTTTAGGGGTGTTTCCCCAGAAAAAAAGCACTGTATATATGGTTGTTTTTGTGTGTGTGTGTGTTTCTGTGTGTTTTCTGTTTCTGTTTAATCACTTTTTGATCACTATCTTTCCTATGTTTTTAGCTTTTTCTCCTTTTATATTTTATTTATGATCTTCAGGTTTATACATTTCAATAATTTTACAGTCGTTTTTGCATTTCAAAACTTGACTTCCCTCCCCCTCTTTCTGTGGTGCCTTAAATTTATTTTTAATATTTTCTGCATATCCAAATCTACTTAATTTGTTCATTCATTCAGTGCTTTTTTTTCTTTTAAAATGTTTAGGGGTACTCTCATTTTGATTCAAGAAAATCGCCATTTTATAGTTCAAATCGGGAAAAATAAATACAGTAAATGGACAAAAGTACAAAGATTCACAAAATGTTTAGGCGTAGGTGTGCCCCTACATCCCTCCAGAAAAAAGCACTGCATTTATTCATCTACTTTAAATATATGCTCTTATAAAAATGTTGCAGGTTACTGTATTACAATAATCCC